AAGCACCCCCGCATGTGGCCCACCAACACCTGCCTACATGTAACAGATTTTTTTTACATGTAGGCAGGTGTTGGTGGGCCACATATATGCCGGGGTTGCTTTTCTTTGTGGATTCATTACCCGTTACCCGTTGCCCTTGTTCCTCCTGGGCCTGGTTGGGGGAGGGGGGCGTGTATGTTTCACCGCCGTCATTAACATGCCTGCCCTGATTGCCATGTTCCGATCCACGTGTTGCCTGTGCAGAGCCTCAGAAGGTGTTGCCAACGTCCAGCCGGGGATAGAGGTAAGATAAGGTAAGACACCTGGCCAGGTCCATCACTCCTCATAACCCCACATGCATGACCCACATGCACCCAGCAGGAGTGTGCGTGTGACGTACCAATGCTGTGCCGCCTAGTTTTCTCACAGCGTGGATAAGGATAATCAACAATAAATAATGCAGTAATAAATAATGCAGTAAAACGGCCGAGGAGAAACCCCCAACCCAAGGCTGGCAAGGTGCATGGGGCTAGGTGGCGCTGCAGCGCGCAAAACGCACTTCACCGTCTTGCTGTGTGAACTGTGCGACTACTTGTGCTCTTCGACGGCAAAATTAATGCCGAGCCCCTAATCCTCTCCCCGGCTCGCACATCATGTCCGGGATTCTGTTCCTTTTCTCTTCTCCTCTCCCGCTCTCCCCCCCTCCCGCACTCTACCCCACCTCCTGCTCTGTGTCTGTAAGCATGGATGCCACGTGGCCACACAGCAGACAGGCGATCAGAGGTCCCAGCGGAAGCCAGGACAGCTCCCAATGTGAGCCGTGCTGAAGGGAGCCAGGTAGGCAGGAGGAGGAAGCATGGAGGGGAGGCAGGCGAGGCCGTATGGAAGCTCAAATGGGGTAGTTACAGTTATCCAGGAGGCTTGGAGACGAGGCAGGCAGGGGGAGATATATGGGCAGGCAAGGGAGATATATGGGCAGGCAGGGGAGATATATGGGCAGGCAGGGGAGATATATGGGCAGGCAGGGGAGATATATGGGCAGGCAGGGGAGATATATGGGCAGGCAGGGGGAGATATATGGGCAGGCAGGGGGAGATATATGGGCAGGCAGGGGAGATATATGGGCAGGCAGGGGGAGATATATGGGCAGGCAGGGGGAGATATATGGGCACGCAAACCCATTCGTATTGTGGCTATCGGGTTGTGACTTGTGCATATATTTTATACACATGCCACCAGCTGAATATCCCTGACCCAGTTGCAGCAGCTCGACCTTACATGAAACAGTACAGGCCCTCCACAACCGGCTCTCTCGAAGGCCCAGTAAAGCAAAACAAAGCCCAATAAAGGAAGTAGGCAACACTAAACCCCGTCACCCCTAACCATCTGTTCCTTACCGTTCCCCTTCCCGAACCTTTCTCCCGTATCCCGTACTACAGTCCCGTACTGCTTTCCGGCCTGCCTGCCCTGGTTTCTCTTCCCTCCCAATCCCATCCCCAGCACCACCTTGCGACCGTGTAGATGCACCATGCGTATCAAGACACCCGTCCAGCAGACAGCGCCCACGGCGGCACCCGCGACGCCCACCCGCATCACCGCGCGATGGCGTGTTGTGTACGGCAAGCCGCCATCCGCCGCCCGATGGCCTGCGCAAGGGAGCGCCCCGCATGCTCGCCCCGTCACAGTCGCGGCCATAACCACACGGATTGTCAACGATGGTCCACACGAGAATCGCATCCAAATCCTGAACCGCTTCTTTCCTACATCTTGACAAGACCTGAACCAGCCCAAAGGTCAAACGCCCGCGTCCTTAGGAAAGCCTGAGATATGGGTCTTTATCGTTTTTACCTCACCCACGATGTAGAGTGTACAGGTTACTTCTCGTCGGCCTACCTGCAGGTGGCAATTTGCTGGTCAGCAAGGATCCCGCGGAAAGCACCAGTGACAGGGCTTGCAGTAGTAGAACCGAAGTGGCAACGTCGGCGCGGATGGCACTGCGGAGCTCGCCCGTGTAACGCTGCGAGGGTCCCGTCATGGTGGTGGCACAAGGGACGGCTGCAGGGACTGATGAGTCGGCAATTCTAAAGCAGCGAATTCAGACCAAAATTTGGATCGGAGTTCATCACTAAGGCAAGAAAGCAAGCGGGGGCCCCCATTTCCCGTAAGCATTACCACGCCGAAGGGTTCGACGTGTTGCCGCCATGCTGCATAGAGGAAGAAGAGTCCCGCAACGAGCGCGCCGCCCCCGAAAACTATTCGCCATCTCGTGTGGTCTTGTAACGAAAGTGCTTCAAATTCGCGGATCACGGCCTCCTGTTCCTGCTCATCCAGGGGCTCTGAGCGGGTCTCAGGGCCTAGGATGCTGTCAACCAGCGCAAACTTCCCGTGGGTACCAGTTCTCTGCCTCATAGTCCCTGTGTTGTGCGGAACGATGATCTTTAAACGGAAGTAAGTATCGGAAGTTGAAGTTGTCACTCCAGGAGTGAGGACCTCAGGCCAACACCAGGAGCAATAAAATTGGAGGACGTTATGAATTACAAGACGCACAGAAAACATACAAATGTATGTCGCTGAACCCATTGTTACAGGCTCTGGCTCCGAGGCGTGAGTTGTCTGCTGCTCCGAATCCAAGGTTTAAACCTTACAGCGGCCACCCAATACTCACGCTTACCAATGCCCACCCCGGCAGATTTCCGCCGCGTACTCCTATTGAATGAATACCATTTAATGTTAAGAGAGGATCTTAACCCTTCCTAACAAATCACCGGTGCTGTCCGCATAACCCATTGATCGGAGGGGAGAGGCGGCCTCTGCCCTCGTAAGCAGCCGAGAACCGCAGGTTCGCTAGCTCCGCTCTCCCTCCCCTGGGGAGAGGGAAAGCGTCGCACGCGCGGAAGCACCGGTGGCACAGCAGCAAGCGTCGGCTTTGGCTTTCGCTTAGGCTTTATTTGGCACAGCAGGCTTGGGATTATATATATGGGCTTATGCTTTGGCACAGGCGAATGGAAAATTTTCATCATTTGTCAGAGTGCACCAACCAGCACGCAGCAGCTCATCAGGCAGGTCTGGTCGCTTCACTGAACCCGGTGTAGACAAAAGGAACTTCACTTTTTATGCATGGTTAGGAACTTTCCATTACATTCCATTACGGTCAACCAAGTTTTGCCCCGGCCGGTAGCTGATTGGCAGGGTAGCCTATACCGGTAGGGTGACCCACCGGTAGGTTACAGGCCTCGGTAGGTAACTCCCCTCCAGGTAACCCTCCTGCCCCACCGGGGCCCCACCCTACCGACCGGTGGGGCCGGAGGGTTACCGATCAGTGACCGGTTGAATGTATACGTGCCAAAGGGTATATGCTGTTCGCGGACTTCCACATACACGCCTTGAATGCGGTTCGCGGGTTTCCACACTCCTCCTATCGTCGCCTTCCCCCCACCCTACCTTGTCGCCTCCATAAAGAGACGATAGTCAGGTGTGTTGTGTTAGACAGACAGCAGGCGGACACCCTGTAGCTGCACGTAAAACGTATTTAGCTTGGGTCCCAGCCGCCACAAGTTGTCAGGACCGCGTCCATGGAACCAAATGTGAAGACACGACTGCACCTTCGCCATTCCCATTTTAAAAGGTAACAGCTGGGGACCCAAATACGAACCTCCTTCAAAGGAGATGGAATGCGCGAATAGATGTTCATCCCTAGTTTGTTTAATTCTACTTTTCTGTACGGTAATGTACGACACTGTACTGTACGGCAAACCCAGACCAGAGCTCAATCGCTCGGGTGAAGCAGGATGTCCCGCACAAGGACTTCGCGCCACACTCACTCCTCGCTGCTACCGCATCCTCCTCCTCTTCATCATCATCATCAGCAGCAGCATGAAGCTTGTACAGCTACAAAAAGCATCCGCCGCAGTTGCGGTGGCCGCCGCCGCCGCCGCCCGGTAGTGTCGCCGATTGGCAGCTCACAAATCGGCCGCATCGCTCGCCAGCATGCCAATTACGCGGCGTCACCTCCACATCTATGTATATACACGTACACGTTGTGCAAACATACGTTTGCTTCTCCTCTCTTCGTCGTGTAGGTCGTCAGTTTTGCGCGGCCTCATGCCTCTTCTCCTCTACCACTTCCGTTGCCATCACGTAAATAGGACATGCACCGAAGCTATGATATCCTAACACTACCGCACCTTCCTCCAGTAGTGGCGGTGGGCGCGGCGAAGGCGCTGGTGATAGATTCGGACACGCCCCTGGCAGTCATGCAGCCAGCGGCAGTGAGCAGCCACACGAGCAAACACACACATACACACACACGTACGCGCGCGCCCTCCCTCCCCCTCTACTCCTTAACCTTGTTCCTCTCCACGACAGTGATCCCCATCTTCCCCACTTTCCCCTATAACCCCCTCACCCGTACCCGTCTAAACTCAACATTTTAAGACGACCCACTCAATGTACGACGCTGCTGCGTGGCCATACCTCCCAACCACCTTCCATCGCCACGGCCCTGCCACGTCACCACGACCCTACCGCGTTCGCTGGGAAAAGATGGAGACCTTTCCTCGCTCATAAAAACACACCCACACCCACGCACACGTATACACCCACACGCACACACACCCTGCAGCACGAGACAGCTAAGAACCTGCCACACCGGGTGCTGGTGCTGGTGTTGGCGGTGTACAGGGCTTCAAGGGTTTCGGATCATGCCAGCCAGGAAGACAAGACAAGCAGTCTACTAGCCAGGACCTCTATAACCCGCTTAACCCGTCTTGGGAATCTCAGGTGCCGTACGGCACAGATGATGACGTACGGCACAGATGATATACACATGCCATTACCCACCACCATTACCACCATTCATCCACCACGACACGGATCGGTACCGAGTATTATCCATCATGTTGTACACCGTGTTGTACGTCATGTTGTACAACACGGCGCGACGGCTTGTCATGTCGCGACACCTCGTGTTCTATACCTGTCATCTGGTCACCCAGATCCGGATCCCGACACGGACGCTGACCGATACACCGGTCCCGCCCCTGCTAGGAACCCCGTCCCCGCCCCCACCATCACCGTCCTGCCCGTGTTGCCCTTGAGCTTCTGCAGCGCGTCCTCCAGCTCGCCCAGCTCCTCCAGCAGCTGAGCCTCTAGCGCATCCACATGGCGGGTCACCCCCGGGGAGGCGGGCGGCGAGGTGCCGCCACCTGAAGCCGGAAAGGCGCCGCCACCGCCGCCGCCGCTGGGTGCAGAGGGCGGAGGTACGTAGGGTTGGAGAGTAGCAGTGGCCAAGCCCCCGAAGCCACCGAGGGAAGGGGAGGGGGAGGGGGGCAGGCCCGAGGGAACCACGGGGCGTGCCATCGTCGCAGGGGCGTGCGTGAATGTGTGCGCGGTGTGGGTGCCGCCGCTGGCGCCGCCGCCGCCGCCGCCGGTGCCGTCGACACTGCGTCCGTTGAGGGAAGCTCGGCCGGCCCTGCGGCTGGCGGCGGCACTGCCGGAGTCGCTGGCGGAGGAGGCCGCGGTGCCGGCGGAGCCGCCGTCATCGGCGCCGCTGCCATGCGGCTGCAGGAAAGCTTCTCGGAGGGAGAAGGTGGTGTGCCGTGTGGAAGAAGTCGTTCGGGAGGAGGAGGAAACGGAGGAATGCGCCTTGCCCAGCGGAGGATGGCCGTTGCCGAAGTCATCCGCGGCGGCGGCGGTGGCGGTGGCGGCAGCGGCTGGTGGCCTGGCGGTTGCGCCGGCGGCGGCAGCTCGCGACGTGGAAGCCGCCGGCGGCTGCACCGTCGCCGACTGCCAGGTGGGATGAGGGTGAAGAGGCTGTAGCTGGCGAGAGGTCATTGGCTCGGCGGCGGCGGCCGCCGCCGCGGCGGCACCGCGTGCCAGGGACTGTGTGGCGGCGGCGGCACCCCACATCTCCTGCTCGATGCGTCGGATGCTATGCCGCATCTCCTGCAGCTGATCCGACATAGCATCTGCGGCGGAGGCGGTGTAGGCATGTGTACGGCTGGCGGAGGCAGGAACGGAAACCGCCGTCGCCGCTGCCGCCGGTCGCCGATGTGGCGATGGTGGTGGAGGCTGTCGCGCCGCCGGCAGCGGTGCTCCGTTGTCGTGGCCATCATGTGAGTTGTGCGCGTTCTTATCGGCTCCGCTGCCCTCGTTGCTGTTCGGCAGCTGCAGGTGCAGATGTGATGGCGGCGGCGGCGGCGGCGGCTTGAGCTTCGGTCGTACCGGAGCCGCCGAGTCGTCGTTTCGCCCTGGTAAGGTTGCATTCCGGAGATCCGGAAGGAAGGAAAAAGTGGAATAGGAAGAAACGACTATCAGGAAGATTGAGGAGCGCTTCCTATTCTTTTACGCAAAGCACACAAAATACAGTCAAAATACAGGGCGCAGAGCTGTACTGCTGGGCCGTGGCGGTCGCAGAAAAAAAACAGCACAGTAGATAGCCAGCCAGCCAGCAGGCTACGAAAGCTAGCAAACCGAAAACCTGCAAAGTTCGAAAGCCACATACAGATAGGCAAGATGGGCAAAAGAGAGAACTGAGGGAAAAGAGGGAGAAAGGCGCCAACAGGGCTCCAACATTATACTCCCGGGAAACCAGCTGCGCTGGGGATCCACCCTCATTTCCAGAGTCTCCTCGCAGCGGCTGCCGTACAGATGCACAAGTAAAAGCTCACTTACCCATTTTGACGTTGCCTGAATCGCGGTCACCGTCGCCGCTCCCGCGCCGGGCCCCGACGGCGGCGGGGGCCCCGGCCCCGCTACCGGTGCCATCCGCGCTGATGGCCCTGCCGCCGCGCGGAGCGGATGCTCCTCTTCCGCTCACGCCGGCCCCGCCGCCGCTTGGTAGAGACCCACGGGTCGAGCCACCACCGCTACTACTACCGCCACTGCTGCCGCCAGCCCCTCCGGCAGCAGCACGAGAGGTCCCCCCAGCTCCGCCGCCACCCGCCTCGGCAGCCGCCGCAGCCGCGAACGGACCCGCCAGGGAGCCCCGGGCGCTGGCTCCCGTACGGCCACTGCCTGACGGGCCCGATGGGGCTGTCGTATGCCGCGGTGGCAGCTGCCAAGTCGCAGCGGCGGCGGCGGTGGCGGCGCCGCCACCGCCGCTCACGTGCTGAGGGCGAGCTGGGCTGCTGCCACGAAGGCCTGGCGATTGTGGGTGTACGGGATGTACGGGATGGCGAAGTGGCGGGTCCTGATGTGCGGGTGACGGCGCGGTGGCTGTAGCCCTGGTGCGTGTGGCACCAGCGGTGCCACTGGTGGCGCCGGCGCGCCCAGGCGTGTCTGTCTTGGCGGTGCCGGCGGCGGCGGCGACAGAGGTGGCGGTTGCGCTGATGCCCGCCGCGGCGGCCGCGGCGCCGACGACGTCGTCATTCATGGCGATGAGCAGTCGCTCCATCTCGCCAACCTGCTGGCAATTCGAGTTACAGTTGGAAGTTGACGGTTGCTGCAAAAGCGAGGACCTAACACGCGGATGATATGGTATGGTTCGTCCGGCCGTGCGTATGTCCGTCCTTACGTCCGCCGGTATCAAGGCAGGAAATTTGGGTGGGGGGGAAAGACGAACCACGTGAACGAGTGAAGCTGCTGCCAAGGAAAGAGTGTACAAGAAACCGAACTGACCAGTAGGCGTTTTTGAAGGCGGCGACCTCGGGATGATGTAGTGATGATGACCGCAGAAACCTACCTACCTACCTACCTACCTAGCCGCCAAGACTAAAGTAAGAGCGGAAGAAACGTAGTAGAACGAAGCCGTAAGAAAGTAAAGATCGGTGTAGAGGCGGCGAAGAAGTAGTAGAAGAAAATGGGGTGGGGGGGGTTGGGGGGGGGGGGAACCCTATCGTGTTTGCTGCCCTAATCGGTGTAGCGGACTTACAAGACATTTCACAACACAAGACATTTCACAACACAAATCTCCCACAGATTCTCAGCTCAGTAAGCCACACAGACATCCGAACATGGTTGGTGACAGTGATCAACGCATTCGCACACGGGGCCGTCCCCACACAAACTCCCACATCTCGCTCTACAAGAGGCAGGTATCGACGTTCCCAACCTGACTCCGTTCTGAGCGCCATTCCCAGCCCGAAAATTCAGATCACATCTGGATTCTCTTTGGATTCTTTCTGGATTCGCTCTGGATTGTTCCTGGATCCTCTTTGGATTCTCTCTTCTCCTCTACTTTAGAGTCCTAGAGCCCCGCATCGCGATCCGAAGGACGTCACACTCCTAGTTTCTGGTCCTTATACTCGAAACCTGAATCCGCACCCGTAAAAGCTCTCCCTCATCTCCCCCCAGACACTTTCCTTGGCAGCAGCTTCACCTCGTTCGTCGTTCGTCATTCCCCCCCCAGACAACACACACACACACACACGAATGCACAAATACCAGCGCTTACCCTCAAACCGCCCCTGCTCACTCACCATATCATGTAAGTCCCGAAACATCGCCTTGCTGCTAGCGGGCGACGAAACCACCATTTGCTGCGCCTCGGCTGCAGCGGCGCCAGCAGCGGACGAGGCCGGTACGGCTGCAGCAGCACGCCCCGTAGTTGATATGGCTGCAGCACGATCGGCGGCGGGGGAAGGAGATAACGGCGGCGGCGGCGGCGGCGGCGTTGCCGCCGTACCTCTGGCAGAGGCGGAAGTGACGGCGCCTCCGCCGCGAGGCTGCAGCGGCGGCTGCGACGACGGCTGCACGACCTTGCCTCCACCACCGCTGGCGCCGCCACCGCGCCTCACCAACGCCTCAGAAGACAGTGGCCGTACCACATGTTGCTTCTGCTGCTGCTGCTGCTGTCGCTGCTGCAGCTTCTCCAATTGCTCTTGCTGCTGCCTGTGATGCTGCACCAGCTGCTCTTGCAGTTGCTGGAGCTGCTGCTGCAGCTGCCACAGCTGGTGGTGGTGGTGATCCTGCTGCTGGTACCGCAACACCTGTTCCTGTGCTTTTCGCGCTTGCTCCAACTCCCTTTCAAGCTGTTGAATCCGCAGCAACAGCTGCTCCTGCTCCTGCTGCTGTTCATGCTGCTGTTCATGCTGCTGCTGCTGCTGTTGCTGCTGCAGTCCATGCTGCTGGTCTCGGTCCGCCGGTGCCGGGCCTTCCACCTCAAGGTCACCGCCGTCGGGCCGCCTTGCCCGTCTCCCTGCCGCGCCATGTCCATGTCCCTCCCGCAGATCCACCTCGTCCTTCTTACCATCCTCCTCCCAGCGCCTCTCACCACCACCCCCTCCATTCCCATGCCCGTCGCCGTGGGGATGACGCTGGTGGAGCCTGGGTGACGGTTCCCGCCAGAAGTCCTGCGGCTGTAGCCGCTGTAAAGGCGCCGCCGCCGCAGCTGCTGCCGCCGCCACGTTTTCGCGTCCCGGGGAGGAGTTCGTTGAGGAGGGGCCCGGGCGGGCCCCGCTTCCTCCAGCAGCTGCAGTAGAGGGGGTGGGTCCTCTCGGGAAGCCGTCCGCCAGTCGCTGTGGACTGCGGGTGCTGTTGCCTTGGGCTTTCGAGAGGCCGGAGACGGATGAGGCAGCGGGGCCAGGGGAGAAGGCGCCGCCGCCAGCGGCGGTTGTGGCGGTTGTGGTGGCAGTCCCCACCAGCGGGCGCGGGCTCCAGGAGCTGACGACGCTGTACGGCGGTGATCCTTTGGCGCCTCCGCCAGCGGCGGCGGCAGCATTGCCGCTGGCGGCTGTTAGTTCGCTGCTGGTCTTGAGACTGGAGGGGAGATGGAGAGTAGAGCGGCAGGGGGGAGAGGGGTTATTACGCGAGTTTAATCAAGCTGCGATTTAGCTTTATTTAAACGCGTATCAGAAGAAGTTGAGGTTGAGATGCCTTTAAAGACGTGCTCCTGAGGGCTCCGAAACCTGGAAACCTGGAAACGCGACAGGCCTTTTCTCGAGTTCACACACACGCTTACCCCACCTCCTCGCGCCACTGCGTTTTTACCGTATCGTATGTGTAGGAGGTCCAGTGACGCTGCCCGCAGTTAGGTGAAGCCCTTGCGAGGACGTCGAACCCGCAGTGGCGGGCCCAGCTCCGAAACCACCTCCATCGTCGTCGCCGTCGGTGTACCGTCCGATGACGCTGCTGTCGTTGGTGGCGGTGGTGGTGGTGGTGGTGGTGGCGTGGACAGGGCTGCTGCCGTTGCGCGCGGCACCTGCACGCGGCGTGCTCGGCGATCCCCCTGCGTGGGCACCATCATCCCATGAACAACTGGTTATTCCATCTCGTCATTGGTACATGGGTATCAGCACGACGCGCCGCCATGGAACTGATGTGACCGAAACGAAAACGACCCCAGCTAGGGAAGTAACAACTACGCGAAGGTGCAAAGGACACCGATGATCCGGTCGATCCACTATAACTTCATCCATCCATCCATCCATTCATCCATCCATTCAACTCAGCAGCAACGCATGTGCGAGACAGAAGGCAGGATGGGCCGGCGTGGCCCAGGTGCCAGGTGGCCCAGGGATCAGACAGCCGACGGAAGGCACTGACAATGACAACGGCACGCCAAAACCCCCCCATCACATCGTGGCACCGCCACAACTCGCCATCAAGCCAAATCAGGCAACCCGACGCAGCCCCCCCCCATCCTCGCAAACCTCGCCCCGCGTGCGCGCTGCCCCGCGTGTGCGTTTCAATACCTTCTTGGCGTGGCTGTATATACCCAGGTAGCTGTCCGCGGTTCTGTTCTTCTGTTCTTCTGTTCTTCTGGTATTGCGGATTGCGAACTCAACCCCCCCCACAGACGGAACATGAAAGCGGTATTCCCATGTTCCCCTTTTAAAAAACTGGAACTAAACCCACCACCTAACCCCGTCCCCTCCTCACCCATTTCAAGGATCTTCTACTGGCACCAATTTTAGAAAAAGTACTTACCGTATCGCCCCGGGCGTGTGGACGTGGCGCTGGCCACGTCGCCTGCTTCCGCCGCACCGCTTCCGGGCCCCGCAGCGAGGCGCCAGCCTTCCAAAGCACGAGCCGCCCGCCGTCGCTCTCGTCTCAGCTCGAACTTCTGTTGTAGGGACGCTAGAAGCGCCTGCAGCCCCTGTGCCGTACGTGGCGGGCTGCCGCTGCTGCTGCTGGCGGCAGTGGCAGCAGTGGCGCGACCGTCGGCGGGCGAGCCTTTTCGGGTGCTAATGCCGGCTGCAGCCTGAACTCCCGGCCGCAGTGGAGACGAGGTGCTTGCAACACCGACATCACCTCGGGCGGCCGACGACAGCCGCTGCGCACCTGGCGACGATAGCGGAGGGGATTGGTGGTGTAATGGTGAATGCTGTAAGTCAGAGAGCACAACCCCTGGCGTGGCGCCTCCGCCTCCGCCCAGGCCGCCGACGACGCTGAGGGAAGGCCATAGAGAACCGGAAGGTATAATGAAAGGGTGCAGCACTTGGCCATGCGGAGCTGAGGCGGCCCGTGGCGGCGGCGGTGATGTCCGCATCGGGGAGGTGGTGGTGAGGTACGAAGATGGCGCCGCGCCGGTGTCGCGCGCTCCCATTGCCGACGGGGGTGAGGATCGCACCGACGTCGCCGGCGGGCCTGGCGCCGCCCACGTCCGTACTTCAGGGCTGGATGTCGCCGCAGTTGCCGCCAGCGCTACGCCGGCACCTCGCATAAGAGACTCTACCATCCGAACCGAACTACCAAATGCAGCGGCAGCGCCATGCTCTGGCCACGCTGTGTCTGGAAACCGCCGGGGTGGCGACGACACCCTGGCGGCTGTGCCTGCGACAGAGGAGCCCGGCCCCAGGCCGTCTATGTCGTACAGTGACGGCGCGCCGCCGGCATCGCTGCTCGCCAGACCAGCGCCGGACCGCGCCGGCGAGGCGAGGGACCCAATATCACCACCGCCATCGCCGTCAGTAACGATGGCGCCGCTGCCGTTGGCCGCGATGGCGTCCTCTAACAGCTGCGTCTGCAGCCGCTGCGCCGCGGCCGCATGGTCCAGCAGAGACTCCGTTATCACGCTTCGATCCGCCGCCCCCATCTGGTACGGCTGCTGCGGCTGCGGATTTGTATTGGGTTGCACGTGTGAAAGTACACGGGGGACGTGGGGGCGAGCTGGAACGGCATGGGCCAGCGGAGGGGATGCACGCGCGCGGCCCATTATGGGCATATTCATTGGGAGGAGCGCCTGCGTACGAAATGGTAGTTGCGGTTGCGATTGCAAGTGGAGCTGACGATGCTGCCAACTGCTAGAGCGCGACTGCAGGCTCGGGTTGCCGAAGAGCCGTGAAGTCCCGGGGCCGCCGCCGGATGCCGCCCAAGGCGCGGCGGGTGCCTGGGCCACTGCCGCTGCGGCCACGGGAGGTGACGGCTGCGGCGTGGAGTACGAAACTGGCGTACTGAGAGAGCGTGGCGCAGACTGAGGGCGTATGGCGGCCAACGTGGCAGCGCCATGCGCGGATGGCGCGGCCGCCACTGCCGCCGCCGCTCCAGCTTTCTTAGCCGCAATCGTTTGCCACGATATGGCGGCGGACGTTACGGACAAAGGCGAGGGGCCCAGGTTCCGTACGGCACCGTTCAGATGTCCGGATGAGACGGACTGCTGCCGCGAGGTGCGATAACCATCACCGCCAGATGACGCCCCGCCATGGCTGCTGCCGCGCATGGGCGGCATGTAACGACCTCGTGAAGAGGACCCAACGCTGGATGTGGCGGCGGCGGCGCCGCCGCCGCCACTGCTACCGCGGGCCCGACCCACCGATACGGCGCTGCCGCCGCCGCCGCCGCCATCCAATCCCCGTAGGATTTGGTCCAGGGAGCTCATATTGCTTCCGGAAGCTCCCCTGGAGCCGGCCCCTCCTAAGGACGTTCCGGGGGATCTGCCGCCCCGCGGGGTGGCGCCGCCAGCCGCACCACTGACGGCGGGGGTGACGAAACCCCCCTCGCCGCCGCTGTTGCGTCGCGCCCAGGCGGCGCCACGGGCGCTGCTGCTACTGCTGCTGCCGCCTCCGCCTCCGCCGCCTGCGCCTCCGCCACTCCCTGCAGACGCCGATGCTGATGTGGACCCCCCTGGGGACATGTAGCGCCGGCCTGTGGAGGTGGGCCGCATCTGGAGGGGGTCTACTGAGGAGGGTCTTCGCAGCTGTTGCTGCTGCTGCTGTTGTCGTTGGTGTTGTGTGCCGAAGCGATGCTGCAAGAACTGGCTGCGTTGCGGTTGGGACTGAGCTTGCAAATCCTTTTGTTGTCGTTGTTGTTGTTGGTCGTGCTGCTGCTGTTGTTCTTGTGCCTGATGTTGTAACCGGTGCTGAAGCTGTTGCAGCAGCTGCGGTATCACGTTGTCGGTTACCTACTGGTTTGCAGTTAGCGGTTTTGACAGTTTGTAGTTGGTGAGCAAGTAAGGGAGCGTTATGGAAAGGTGAACCCTCGACTCACCTTTTCAAAACGCAGGTAAATAGCGAGGCACAATGAAAGGCAGGGAGTTGCGTATACACGTCTGTGCGCGGATGAAAAATCTTAAGAGCAAACACGCAGCCTAGTAAGGAAACACGGGTTTCGCCAGCAGGATAATCTGCATACGACCTTTATGCGGCCCTCGCTGTCTTAGGTTGGACTTCACGAGGGAACAACACCCACCCACACCCATCCATACACCCGCACCACCCACAAACGCACATACATACATGCAGACGCGCACGCGCACATGGAACATTTCGAATACTACCCGTTCCATGTTCTGAAGGAAAGCGACGATCCCCCTTCCTCTTAACACATGCAGCACGCAGCAGCTGTGTGCTTCAACATGCAGGACATGGTTTTCCCTTTCACACACATACGTACAGATTGACTGACAGACATACAACCCTATCCACCACCCACCATCGGGTTCTGGTTCATGAAGGATGGCCTACAGCTGGAAGGTGGCGAAGCCAGCCCCAGTGAGAAAGGCAGCGCCGGCGCTGCATGGCCCCCGTCAGCAACCACCGAAGCCGGGGCGGGCCCCCTTGTGACGTCTGCGGGCGGCGATGCTGGATCGGCCACTGCAGGTGGCTGAGGCAAAACGAAAGTGGAGAACCGAGCGCGGTTCACTTGCGCGGGGCGCAGCGACTTTCGCCCGGGGAAAAGCCCCATTGGGCCTCCTGGCTCCTCCGCTTCTCCTGCTTCTACTTCGGGACCAGGGGCTCCGAAACCCACTCTTCGTGGCGTCCGCAATGGCGACGTGCCCGTCTTGGGTGTTGTTGTTGCTCCCACAGCCTCGCCGCCTCCGGCGCCGCCGCCGCCGCTGTGGCGGTGGAAGGCCGCCGCTGGCCGGGCCCGGCCCCGGGCTTTGACCGCCAAGGCTCCAGGGGAGGAAGGGGAGGAGGAGGGTCTACTAGCCCGCGGCTTGATGGCTGGCGAGCCAGGGGAACGCGCTCCCTGCAGCAATAAAGGGGGTGCGGAACCGGGTGCGGATGGGGCCCCTTGAGCGAAAAGAGAGACACCTGTGGTCTAGCACAGAGTGCCCACACCGCTGCACCAATGCAGCAACATGTCGTCAGTATGGCAATACGTCGGCAGGAAAAACGCAAAAACGCGGCGAACATGCAAATAGGCAGGTTTTTGAGCTGCTGTGGCTTAAGTCTGGGCCGTGCGTAAACCCGTCTGTGTAGCGTGCTTTTGAAAGTGGTGAATGCCTGGTTGCCTTACCCTGAGCTGTGTGATAGCTGGGCTGCCGGTGGAGGTGTGGGTATGGGTGCTGTGTGTGTCGGCAGGAGGTTGCGTCGTCGGGCGCTGTTGTAGGCTGGTGCCGCCGCCGCCACCACCGGGTCCCTTTGCTGTCACTGGATGTACGGCACCCGCGGGCGTGGGCATGACACCCGTGAAGTTCAACGCTCTGGGTGAGGAGTTGCGGCGGGGTGGAGTGGGGGAGCGGGTCGCTGGAGACGACGTCGCGCCGCGGTGCAGGCCATGCAGAATTTCGTTGAGGGCGATGGGACGTGGGATGCGCTCTGGAGAAGACCCAACTTGGTCTGGCCAGGAGCGGACCGCGAAAAGCTGGCCCGCTGGCGGTGGTGGCTGTGACAAAGACTCGACGAGGCGTTGCTTGGAGCGAAGTTCCGACAGGCGTGAAGCATGGGCGTCTGCTGATAGCTGATGTTGCAGCTTCTCCAAGGTATACTGTATTTCGCGCACTGAAGCCTGCTGCGCGGGCGGCATTTGGCCATGCGGGTCCAACAGCGTGTGGGTCGCCTCCGTGCGATCATGTGTCGAGCTGTGCAGGAAGCCGTGCAAATCAGCGTGGCTCCCACTGTTGGACGTTAGCCCGACTGAGAGCTGTCGGGATAGGTCTGCCATCACCCAAACGCCCTTGGCGCTAAGGAAAGTTTCCCCTGAATCGCCAGCGAACCATCAGGACAGAGGTATGATTCCTACAGCATAAAGTACGATAATAACACTCGCAAGTCAATCAGTCAAAGGTGGGCGTGGGAGTTGCAGCGTATAGGAGAAAATGGTTGAGGTTCAGACTATCGTAATCCAAAAAGGCTATTTGCAGCGTGACTGACATGCACAGCGGAACCGCTCTCATCCTTCGCTCTATCCAAAACGCAGCTCGCCGTACTAACGCCGTCCTGGGAGGAGGAAGCATTTGAGCTTAGCTTTTTGCATTTGAGAAGTAAGAATTTTTAAAGTTTAATTGAAATACAACATGGCTTTATCTTATCGCTCTTACTGTGCCCACTGTGGAGTTCCCAGACGACCTGAATTAGCCGGGCACCAACTTATGCATGCAATGGTCCCTAGCACATTTCATCTATCGTCACGAAGGTGATGATTTGGATGGAAAGTGCGCAGCTTACGCATGCCTCCACAACGTTGTCTGTCTCCATCTGCACGCAGTAGGGTGACCCCTGTCTTCACGCGGTGTGAGCAAAAGCTACCATTTTCTCTTAGATGGGCCAGCCGGCAAAAATGGGTGTCTCCTGCTGGAGCCATGGACGTCATGCCCACCTGGACGCTTGACCAAATTGCCGGACTTGTGTTTGGGGTAAGACGGGGCATTCGTTCAACCCCCGAAAGACAGCGATCAATTTGAGCTCGCCGTCTGTGCAAAGGAAGCTGTGGTTTCACCCTCCCAAACCCAGACCTTGCTTAAACTCCTCCCCCACGAACTGGGGGATCTGGGTGCGGGTCCCCCAAGCCCCTACCTCTCTATAGCAGAAAAATAAGCTCTCTCCGGAGATGGGAGATACAAATAGCTCCTGCTTTCCCCATACCTTTGCGTGTTTGCAGTGCTTGCGCGCACCTGCAAATGCATACGCCCCCATATGCTCCCTTCCGTTTTGCACACCTCCGAGCCCCTTAAGAAAAAACCTGACGCTAATGTCCTCCTGCATGAGAACCCACTCCACGCAACCCACTCCCTCCCACAGGCCGTCATGGTAGTCGCCGTGCTCAGTGCTCGCCAAATCGATGTGGTAGTGGCCCGGGCGCAGAGGCGGCAGCTGGGGCTGTGTGAGGAGTGTGGCGGGGTGTTCGAACCAGGGACCTGCCAAAAGGGAAATTGCCCAGCCAAGAAGGGGATGAGCTGAAGGCCGGTACGAGGCGAGCGGGACAACGCGTACGACGTCTAACCACCCGTGAAGGCCAACGTCAGGGGAATACGTGGGAAAGACGGGTCCATGGGGGTATATGTGATGGGAATCATGGACCAAGCCAAGAGGGAGTGTGTGTGGGCTCCTTACCTACCCACCTCACCCAGCTGCAGGCGGCAAGATATGTAGATCATGAATCCAAGTTTAATATCTATATCTATATCCATATATATACACATGTGAGGGAGCGTAGTCCTGTACATCCCGATGAGCGAAGAATGGGCTGAAGGAAGTGACACGTATATGTATACACAAAAAAAGAGTGAAAGAGAAAGAAACAAAGATAAACACATATATACGCACACTGATGCACATACACGCCCGCATAAGGACCCGATCCAGTCGGTTGCAGCCCGAACCAAATGGCAGCGAGGAGAGGAAGAGCTGGCGGGATCGAAAAGGTCATGCGGGAAGCATGCGCGAACGTTTTCGGGGTGTTAAGGTGGGGACATTGCCTATGTTTATGGATCTGGAAGGGGAAGGGCGTTTGTGGGGTGACTTTATGGCGGTGCTCTGCAGGGAACGTGAAGTGGTGTGTGTGGTTGGTCGATTTGCTTTGCTTTTTGCCACAATGCCACAACCTGTGAAGTGTTGTTTTCTGTGGGCCACATGTGAGAAGGGAAGCCTCGGAGGGCATCTGAAGGCAGCAGCCTGGCAGGAGCACTTCAGAAGTCTGTGAGCTCGAGGGCTATGTTTGCAAGTTTCGGAAGAACCAAACGTGTTTTCGCCGTTTAAGAAAGAAACAGGCGCGGGCGTTTTTTCCGCATTATGAACAAACATCTGAACCCACCTGAATGAACAGGAGATGCTACTAGAGGTGGATGTTGGATTGCTTCCACTGCTGTCTATGTACTTGCAGTAGCAGCGCAGGGAGCGGGAAAAGAAAGAAAGGAAAAATGCGAAACAGCTTCTTTTGGCGCGATGTCCCGTCCCGCTGATGTGCAAACGGTACATGCGTAATTATATGTGTAATTAGGCCAACATCCGGCGAGGGTGTAGAGGCAATAGAGGGTGCCAAGCGGCCCGTTTGTGGCCATAATTATCTTCCATAAGCCCAGCACTTCTGCAAATCTTGCAAAATTACGCTCCAATCAGGCTGAACGGTGAGCTATGGCGAGGTCCCCGTGCACGTGAGAGTCATGGGACGGGGACCCCAAAACGAACGGCGCAAGGCCTCACACGGGGAACGTAAACCCTCCCCGACAAAATCGCAACAATTTGCATTTTTGTTTGGTACTTTTTCAGCAGCTCCAAAACGTTCTGATGCTGTAAAAGCTGCAAGCTTATTAGGTGTAATGATGAACGACGGCTCAAAACGTACTCCCCGAACCGTTCCTTCTCTGTAATCCATACCCCGGTGCTGTCCTCCAGTATAAAGAAATGTTATTCAAGTATACTGGGCCGTAGTTGTAGACAAGTTACCCAAGCAGGCCACAGGGCGACACGGCAACCCTTCGCATCAACATGTTGGTGAGACGCTATCTCACAGGGACCTAGCAGACACGACTAAGGAGACATTAGCCGTTACACGTATTCGGGAGATCCGCGACCTACCACCGAAAGCCCCTTTGCCTAGGCGTAAACGTGTGAATCTGAGGTACTGTTACCGATAAACAACAGAGACTTATAAAGGCTTGGAAAGCCTATCCCAAAGGACGAGAGCTATCAGTACGCTAGAACCTAATAGCCATTATGACGGGCCTCCCGAGACAGGTCCAAAGCTGTTGGTCCAAAGCTGTTACTCAGTCTAACATGCGACCTCAGACCGGCCACAGCTGTTACTCACGACAGCCTGACAAGTTACCCAAGCAGGCCACAGGGCGACACGGCAACCCTTCGCATCAACACGCCCCCTCGTGTCGCACTAGGGGCCTTACTACAAATTGTTAGCACCGACGAGCTAGCTCGGCCACCAAGTCCGCGGTCCAGGCCGACTGCTCACCACTCAACAAACACAAACGCAGCTTGCCAGCCTTCAGCCTGATGGCTATGCGGTCTGGTGCTGCTGTTCAAACACAAACAGG